TTCATTTGGAACATTGCCCTTGTCGGTTGTTTAAAAAGTATCTAGGGCTTATCCCTCGCCGTCTTTTTGTCCCTCCTTTTTCGTCCGGGGCATTACATACTCCTTGTCATCTGAAGATATCACATATCCCATTTAAATATTGGTCTTCATCCCCAACCTTCGGTCGCCTACCGAGTCTCACCCTCCAGTCACTTAACGTAACCTTCTTTTCACGAGAGGACTTCAGTCCTTGATTAGGTTTATTTTACAGCTGGCTGTTTACTTTTTTTCCTTTCACCCATTTTCACGGCATCGAGTTGACCTCGCTTTTCGCCATTCATAACAGTGTTGGGCGTCATATCCAACCGTACAAAAGTGAACATTCTTTCTTCGGATTAACGATTACCTGGTACAAATAGGTCATGGCGGGAACAGCAGCTCCAGCAGCTCCGGCTGCCGCTGCCGGTCAAGGACAGGCTACGGGATGGACACCGGCGATGGAAAACGAGAGTCTCTCTAACTACTTACTGATCATATGTGGTGCTGTGTCGGCTGCCCTCATAATATGGCGCATCACAACCAGCCTGACCACATACATCCGAACCGTCACTAGTCTGTCGAACGATACACAACGATATTACATGCGTGCCTCTTCGAAATTCTCTTGGGTGAAGAAGAACCTGCTATATTCTCCCTTGTTCAGGAAGCGACATAATCGAGAGTTCCAGCTAAGCAGTGCGATCAACGTCGGTACTTTACCCACGCGTTTCCAATTCATGTTTATTCTAGCGTACTTCGCCACCAACGTCGTCTTCTGTGTTGTCCACATCCCCTTCGAGAGCTTTACGGATGCTTGCAAGCAATTGAGAAATCGAAGCGGAACCTTGGCCACTGTCAACATGATCCCGCTCTTCCTCATGGCTGGTAGGAATAATCCTCTCATCGGTCTGCTCGGTATGTCGTTCGATACCTTCAATCTGTTGCATCGATGGTTTGGTCGGATCGTGGCGTTGGAGGCGGTATGTCATGTATTCGCCTTCTGGGCTGCGTCGGCAAAAACTAGTGGATGGGCGGCCGCCCTGAATGCAACAGTGAACAAGCCATTCTTGTTGTACGGCTTCATCGTAAGTTCTCTGCATCCCCTGCCTTCCACTATATCTCCAAACTAAGATGATATAGGCTGCCATCGCCTTTGTTGTGATCATGTTCCAAGCTGCGAGCATTTCGAGGCATGCGTACTACGAGTTTTTCAAGATCATGCATATCGGACTTGCCGCACTCGCAATTGCCGGCCTGTGGTATCATCTTAAGCTAGACGACCTCCCTCAGATCAAGTGGCTGATCCCGGTCATTCCCATATGGGCCGGCGACAGAGTCATGCGCTTTGCGAGAGTCGCTTACCACAACTTCGGCAAGGGGGGCACGAAGACCCTCGTAGAAGCCCTTCCTGGCAACGCTGTTCGCGTCACAGTTAATATGGCTCGGCCATGGACTTTCAAACCCGGCCAACACGCGTACCTCTACCTGCCTTCCATCAGCTTCTGGCAATCCCACCCATTCTCCCTAGCGTGGAGCGAAGAAGCGGAAGACCTGAGCGCCGACAAGCTCGCAATGAGCCGACAGGATGTACTTGCTATGCGCAAGACCAGCATGTCGTTCATCATCCGAGGACGAACCGGAATGACTCATACCTTATACCAGAGGGCCGCAGCAAATCCCGATGGTCGACTCTTCACGACCTGCTTCGTTGAGGGACCGTATGGAGGGGAGCACATGATGCATTCGTACGGCACCGTGATGCTTTTCGCTGGCGGCGTGGGTGTTACTCATGCAGTCCCCCACGTCCGGGACTTAGTCACGGGTTTTGCGAACGGCACGGTAGCTACACGAAAGGTGGTGTTGGTGTGGATTATACAGAGCCCCGAGCATCTTGAGTGGATTCGACCGTGGATGACTGAAATTCTGGCCATGGATAAGCGCCGTGACGTGTTGCGCATCATGCTATTCGTTAGCAGACCGCGCTCGACAAAGGAGATTCACAGCCCCTCTTCAACTGTCCAGATGTTCCCCGGAAGGCCCAATATCGAAACTCTCATTTCTATGGAAGCTGAGAACCAGGTTGGAGCCATGGGTGTGTCTGTCTGTGGGCCTGGTGCCCTCAGCGATGAGGTCCGACAGGCTGTGCGTCGCAAACAATACGACAGCAGTATCGACTTCATCGAGGAAGCCTTCTCTTGGTAGATGGAGTCAGTCTTTACGTTTACCCAGGTACCCAACAATAGGTCCAAACATCACCGGGGGACCAGATTCATTTTGTAGCGTACAGCTGCTCGGTTCGATTGTGCATATTTCCCTCCTTTCTGCGACTGCAGACAACAGTTTCCTGTAGATAGTTCCTTCATTGATAGATACGTCGGCCTGATACCAACAGATAGTCATGCCCAGCTACGTCGAGAATATATGATGTGCTTTTCCAAATGTCGTTTTGCTGCGAGTTACCTAGTGAATGTTTTTACTCTTTGTAGACTAACAAAGGGCTGAGTCATTATTAGTATTCGGTAAGACCTGCGTGTTAAGAGACGAAGTAAGGCTCACAGTTAGCAACAAAGCTGGATGTGACTGAGGTTCCATAACAACCTAACCCAGAAGTAGTCACAAAATAATGTTTTATCATCTGGATCATAGTACTCATTCCAGGAATGTTAACCAGGTTGGGACAGGTTGGGACAGGTCATGATGAAGAGGAGCCATAACTTGGTTGGTAGATTGAAATACAGATGTAGTCCTTTCATAGTATCAAATTAAGTGCTTATGGTTACATCCTTACGTGAAGATGAAGAACAATGACAGGTAGATAGTGATGTTACGCGCGGGTTTTAAGGACCCGTCCAGCTGCCGGGTGGTACCTAAACCCAGGTACTAGGTAGGAGGTAACACTTGCAATTGGTATGGGACCTTGGAAGGTTCTGAAGGTTCTTCTATCGATTGTTTACCGTGCTTGTGGAACAGCGAGCAACCCTTCTGGGGAAGTAGGTGTCGTACCTAGGTAACCAACTCTCAATCGTGACGCTATAGTGTGGGGTCCATTACATACGAGCAAACAGGGCAATTAAAAGAACGATAAGGCCCAATAACCCCTCGGACCCCACCCCCTTCGGAACGAAGATAAGCGATTATACGTATTGTACATAACTAGGCCAAGGTTCCGGATGACCTCAATCCGTAAATACCACATCACGCCTGCATCGCATGAGCTGTCTTACCGTTTGCCTTGTCTCTTTCTCCTTTCACACCGCAATTGATATGCATCTTAGTCACTTACATCACTTACATCCTTTCTCATCGGGGTAAAAGGCCAAACAAGGTCTTGGTATTCTCATCAACTCTTTAACCTCTCTTTTTCCGCCTTGTTACTACTACTACTCTCTTGCTACACGTGTACACAGGAAACCCCGATTTCATAGTCGATCGACTTTCTACATCCTCCCATTTTCAATACCTCCCCCAACGATTCTCTCGGTCGACCGGCTTATCTATCCAATAACGAATATTCGATACCGAAATCCTTCCCGCACTCCATTCAAGCAAAAGCACTAAAGTCGATTACCCGGTCCGCGTGGGCATCTCGGGCGCAATGGGTCTTGCATACAACACGTATCTTAATAGTAGTAAGATCTACGGATGCAAGAACTGTAAAGCCCACTTAGCCAACCATGAAGAGATCATAAGTCGTGTACGGTCCCCATTTCGCTTTGTTCCTCTGCTCAGCCTTCTCGTGGTTAAGTCTATATCGCCTATTGTTTCATAATGTCTTCAGTCATTATTCTACAAACCTTTCCACCTACCAACCAATCCAACATGACTAACACCTCCTCGTTCGCGATAACAGAATTTCCGTGGTCAACATGGTAAGGCTTACCTGTTCAACACTGTGGTCAACATCGATGCGGGCGAACCATCCGAGCGCAGCATGACGACAGGCCGGCATATCGTGCGCGACATCACGTGCAAGCAGTGCAAAGAGACTGTGGGCTGGAAGTACGACCGCGCATACGAGTCGAGCGAGAAGTATAAGGAGGGCAAGTTCATCCTCGAGGCCGAGCTACTGTGTAATGTCAGCTAGACGGTCGCCTTCCTTTATCGATCGATCCGTCTGTCCTACACAAAGGTTATAGGGAGGTATGATTTTGCTCATGGCCCTATAGCTAGTATGTAGGTTCTGCGCAAGGCATACGCAGACGGACACAGGCTTGATTTCATTAGAAATATGATTTCCCTGCTTCGCTGAGTGAGAAGGGACAGAACGGAGGTCTTTTTATCTCTAACTTTGAGTTTTATTACCTATTTATCTAGCATGGGCAAGCATCGGCCGGGCGTTCCTGGTTGCTCCGAGTGGGATTGCTCATGGACTATAGACGGAGGAATGGGAATGGATTACGTTGATTTACAGTGTACAGCTCGGCATCTACAGTTGATAGCGCAGGCACCCATAAGGCTTTCTAGGGCCGGACGGGTTTCCTCGAGCGGCAAGAAGATTCGGAGATCGGTTCTCCGTTCAGAGGACTTCTACGGAATAGATAGCTGGGCAATTACACTTTGGTTTTCACATTGGCTTTTGGAGGGATGGCTCACTCTTGTGGACTGGTCCTTTCGTTCTAGGTGTGCCCAGCAGTTATGGTGACTACCTAGGTATGATGATCAACATCGAACTGTAGATACAGGCAACACCGAGCAATCTAAAGTATTATACCGTTGCCTAGGACGCACAGGATAACAGGGTAGAAGTAAAAGGGGGGTGGACTCATGTAAGATGCCCAGCTAGGTATGTACATATACATGCAAATACATGGTCTTGAGAGCCCCTTAGTTTGTTCATATCTCTAGAGGCAATGAGAGGATATACACAGAAGCACCGACCCAGAAAAAGGTAAAGGCATAACTAACAAAGAAAGAAATAGGCGTATTGAAAACGCCGTCGACACGGCGTGAACCCCAGCCCTCCCGGTAACAAAAAAGTGAACGACGCCCACCGGGATTCGAACCCGGGTATTTCCAACCCTTTCACCCCACCCAGGCAGGAGGAACGAGTTGGCCAACTACTCCATGGGCGCCTAGCGCGCCACCCGTCACGGGTCAGAGTCTCTCGTTACATAGCATGTCGCCGTTTTAATTTGGATTATAAGGCCACTGCTACAGTTCAATGTATGGAAGTGAGTCTGTTCACGGCGGTGCCTTCCCGAGTTGAATTTAGGATCTACCTCTGCACTTCCGTACCTACCTAGGTAGTTATGGGTACCTGATATATATATACACGGAGACAGCTGACATCTTGCTAGTTGATTGATTTCATAGATTCCAGAACAACTTATGAGGCATTCCCACCTATGATATACTACCTGTTATATACACGAATAATACAATACATTCAGCTACGCATTAATATGACCTAGATATTTGGTGTGTATACCAACTCTAGAAACCACTGAAGGAGAAATGAATACAAGGGGAGGAAACCGAGGAATGCAAGGAGGAAGTTAGGATATATAAAGGGACCATGGGGAATGAATTGAACACAGTGGTTTACTGGACAAGGACAAAACGGCGATCAATAAAAAGAATTCAAGCTCGTATATACATAAGTGTAAGGGCCTAATTAGCTGTCTTGTATCTCCTTTCATCTCTACCTCCTAGGTCAAACCCCCCTTTCCCCCCTGGCAATCGCACAAATATTTCCGAGCCAACTCCCTGGTCATGTCCCCTTTTTTCAAGAGGATATTAGGTACCTACGATAGCCTACAGCTTAGTACACCTCATTAACTATTCACGAAAACAACAATCATCGTCAAAAAGTTAGCAAAGATGGTCCCCTTCCCTATCATCCCTAAGCCGTAGAAACCATGACCGCACGCACAGGAAAGCAAGTCCACACCCTTAGGCCATGTCCGTTCCTCTTCTCGGACTACCCTACTTCATAGTTGTACCGGAAATACGGACGACTTAACGACCTCAGCGAGTCCAAGACGCAAGTGAACTAATAAAGTAAGACATCAAGTCTACGTCGATATTCGAACCAAAGAAGGTATGTGTGACAATTTGATTGATAAAACAAAGCGAATATACCGCTACCAAACCATGCATTACAAGCAAGCTAACCGATGAACATACTTAGCCCCAGCGAACGCCATCCCAATGCAATAAGATATATAAACCTCCAACGAAACTCTCCCCTCGAAACCAACAAACGTGATCAAGTCCCGCCCATCAAACCCCCAGTAGCCAGCCCCAGATGGTACCAACCGATGAGCAGATCCTAGTTATGCTCGATGGGTTCCTCGGGGAGCAGCTCCTCGACCTCGTCCTCGGGCTGCAGGAACTTGAACGGCGGCTGGACGACGCCGTTGAAGAGGAAGGTGAAGTAGACCAGCAGCGCGAAGCCGGCGACCTGGAGGCCCTTGAAGGACTCCCAGCCGAGGCCGAGCGAGACGAGCCAGATGAACAGGGTGCGGCAGCTGTCGATGGTGGACCGGGCCGTGGCGCTGACGCTGCGGGTGACGGAGAGGCCGAAGAAGTTGAAGCCGCTGGTTAGAACTAGTTAGCATGTTCGCCTTAAAAAAGAGAACAAAAAAAATGGTAGACCTCGTAACTCACCCGATGGAAATCATGGTCAGGATGCTAGAAACCCACACGGCCTTGTACTCGAACATCTGCCGGAAGCCCTCGACCATGTCGAACATGCCGTAGCGTCCAGCATCGGTGCTGCCCACGACCAGGTGCATCACCAGCATGCAGATCAAAGTCACAGCGAGGCCGAACAGGCCCTCCCAGCCGACAACCTCAATAGCCTCGATGCTGGAGCGCTCGAGGAGGAACTCCTCGAGGACGAACTGGGTAGCCGTGAAGATCTGGGCGCCGGCGATGAGGACGACGCCCAGTGCGGCGCGGAGGGCGTCCACGGACGCGGCGTCGTCGGCGGCCTGGCGGAGGGCGTCCTTGGTGTCGGGCCAGATGACGCCGGCGAGGCCGACCATGGCGACGCCGGCCACGACGCCGACGAGCGAGACCCACTGGAACAGGTGCAGCTTGCGGTGCAGGAAGACGACGCTGAAGAGGCCGACGAACAGCACCAGCGCGCCCCGCGTCATCTGGTAGATGGACGCCGCCACCATGAACAGGCCCGCGTTGACCAGCGTCGTGCCCAGGATGTCGCAGATGGCCGGCAGCGCCAGGAGCAAGATGCCGAAGCCCCTGAGCAGCCCGTCCGGCACGCCGGGCTTCCTGGCCGGCGCCGGGGCAGACACGAGCGGGTGTTCCGAGTTAACGCTCGCAGCGTCGTCGTTGTCGTCATTGACGTCGACAGCTTGATATCCGTTTGATTTGGGGTCCTTCCGGCTCTTGAGGCGGTTGTACGCGGCCATCACGCCGACGACGAGCCAGCACCCGACCTCGCCGACGAACATCTGCGCGGTCTGGAGCACGGGCTGCTCGAACGTCTTTCGGTTCTTCGGGTCGGGGTCGTCGCAGTTTCGGACGCATTGGTTGTCCTGGGGTGGTAGGGGTCAGCGAGCCGCAACGAATCAGGTACGGGTCGTGCTACAGCTGAACTTACTTGATATTTGGTGAATATCGTATTGCAGACGCCGGTGAGCAGCATCATCCCCACCAGGAGTGGGATAAATGCCTTTGACGCCATGGTGGCTACTAGACGATGGCCGAGGTTCTACGGACTACGTAATGATCCCTTGCCAGCAAGAACAGATAAGCAAGCAGTCAAGTACAATTAGGGGCAACTTTGAATAACGTGAAGAACGTAATCTGTTAAGAAATATAAGGGACGAAAGTCCTCTGATGAAGCTTTGATGAAGCTTTGATGAAGCTTCTAAGAATTCGAAGCTCCCCGAGTTGACGAGAGACAACGGTATGATGTTGAATTCCGATGGTCTGTCAGAGTTGACTGAGCTCGAACCGAGATAACTCGATAACGCTGAATCGCAAATTATGTAATCGCCGAATTAAGCACATAGCCGGAATACGCAAGGGGCAGGTTCCAGGCGTGTACGTACCTTGTTGGCACTTCGCCCGGGTCCCATTAGGTATTAGACTGGAACCCCACAAGCCGTTTCTGCATTGGTCAGCCGAGTTAGCCTTGCGATATCTAGCTTGGGTTTCATTGGCTCAGCTAAAGAAACCCCGGACCCGAGAGGCGGTACTTCCCAAATAGGTGGGTACCTGGGACCGGCATGTGCCGGTGAGATGTGCTGGAGAAGTCGCATCTCGTGGACGATATGCCACCCTCTATTCGTTATCACCTGCTCAACTGCATATCGAGGCCCACATCGGTCAGTATATGTTCAACTAATAGCTACCGGTATCAACTGCATGTATTTGTTGTTGAAGCGCGTACAGGTTGTAGCCGGAGCCTTATTATGTTGCTACCTGCATCTTCGCTGTCAGAAACAAGGCAACTAAGTACCAGATCTTTAGGTAGCTGGAGGTTTACGAAAACCCAGGTACAGAGCAAAGCATAGAATTAGGTCACTTTCTAGGTGTTCCTAGTCCATTTCAAATAGGGACAGCAATTGCAGACTGTTCGAGAATTATGATTGTCAAATTTGATGTGAACCACCATCTATAGTAACCTGCGAAACGCCGTAATTAATCGCAGAATGCCTGCCTTTCAACGTCCGTCCCGAGCACTGGCTTCTCAGATTTGCCGAATATCTTCTTCTCCTTCTTCCTCCTTGTCTTCTCCTTCTCTGCTTCAGGGTCTTTATCCTTGATGTTGTTGTAGTGGGGAATGCCCAACTCCTTGTCTTGTGCCAGACGTGCTATGTCCCGCTTAGTAAGGGGAACACCCTCGATGGCCTTGACGTGCTTTCCTTCTATCCCCATCATGATGCCGGCAATAGCAGATGCTATACATGCGAGGCAGACGAATAGACCGGTCGACCAGCTGGGTCGGTCATATCGATCTAAGGCCCACATGAAACTCGACAGCACGACTTGCAAGAACGTATTCAAGACGTTGAAGTAGATAATAAAGTCCAACTTCCATAGCTTTGTCGGAGGCGCCCTGATGCCTGTCGGTGGAGGATCTGATATGGTCTCTACGGGATATGGAACGCTTTCGACATTGTAGTTTGCGGTCGTCTCCTCGATGTTCTTCGGCCCGAGACTCAGGGGTAGCTGATCAGAACCAGCAAGACGGAACCATCCGCGATGAATTCCCGCCAGCGTCCGTAAGGCCTTCTGATCTCCGCGAATGCGGTATTGTAATAGGAAGTAACAGTCTCGGAATCGCCACGGCGCTAGGCCAAAGCCAGTTACACAGAAGAACGCGTTCAGGATCTGTGAATCCACCTCTATCCATATTCGGCGCGGCGAGTCGATATCATTGCAATCGTACCTCCCGTCGACCCAACACATTGCCGGAGCTGCACCGCACAGCAGGAGGAAGAGCATGCCACCCCAGGCTATGACATTAAGGGAGTAGATGATGAGGAAGAAGCCAAAACCAGTGTTGTAGAAATTCCATAAGTCAACAAGTCCCATCAAAATCTGCTCCTTTACGGGATATTTGGGTGGAAAGTGGTATCCGTTCGCATACTCTTGCATCTGGACATCCGCCGCGGCGACGTTCGAAGCGAAAGCAGCCCCTACTCCTTCTTGTGCTTGGTTCTGAGGGATTGACGCTCGTTTGCTTAGAGAATCATTTTGATCGGTTGCGGTTGAGACACGTTTGATACTATCGTCTCGACCTTCTTTGGATATTCTCGGCGAATCTGGCGGCATCTCGAAAGACGCCTCTGTTCGGTCGGAAACCCGATGGTTTGCGCGACGTTTGTTTTCAAGTTCGCAGTCGCCTAGGTATAAAGTTGAAATCGCAATGGAAGCGAAGACGTGGCGGGTGTTATTCTTGTTGTTGGTGGGTGTTTGATGGAGTAGAAGTGATAATCAGCTGCGCAAGAAACCCGTGAAAATGAGGATCCCAGTAAGCAACCACGAAGGTAGAAAGAATTATTTCGGTTGAGCTTTGACAGCGGGTCTAGGACGACAATTCCATATTATTACAAGGGAAGTAAGTGGATGACAAGACAATACCAAGCGACAATGC